ACATTTACCTCGTGTCAGCTAATTGCAGACCCAGCACAAACAGGAACAGGGCCTAGCTATTCTTCTTGGCTGCTTTTCCTAAGCTCAGCTGCAGGGATGAGCAGAAGTGCATCATTTCATTGGCCTTAAATAATGCCCGGCTCAGTCCCCTTTAAAACCTGATACTTGAGAGCCCAATTCCCAAGCCACTGGGAGAAGAATTAGACCAATCCAGGTATTATCCAGCTGGGGAAATATTGCCTCAAGTGAGTGGGAAGTCAGCAGGGAGGAAACGACAACCTAAGACCTCTGTTGGAGAATGCGACACAGGTCAAGATGCCAAAGAGATCTCTGTGGGGTCTGAAGCTTCCCCAGGTGTAGCAATAAGGAACGAGGTGACCGGGAGAGAAAAAGAAGCACAAAGTGGCAGGAAAAGAATAGTAGACATTTCTGAGGACTGTTCTACCCTGCCCAAATGTAGCATCCAATGTCCAACCCCGAGCCTCAGAGACTACACTGTCCAGAAGTTTTCCAGAGCCCTCTCCCTTACCTAGTGTCCCTGAGATCTCCCTGTCACTTGCAATCTGCTGATTAGGGTTAATGTATTATGTCCTGATATGGCAGATTAAAAATGAAATCAATAAATGCCTAAAACAAATGGGCTTTTGAGATGTCCCATTCAATCTGGGTCTTTAAGGGTGAGGTGAGGGGTGGGAGAAGGAAATCAGGAGGCCAGGGGGAAAGGACCACTTAAGCAATCGATTTCAATCCAAAACACTGCGTGACAAAGCGGTTTCTAGGTACCTGTCCTTCCTTTTCCAGGGATCTACCTTAAATAACAAGAGCAACCAAAATAGTTTGTGCCGCTGAGGTTTTATTGTGTGTGTGTATGTGTTTGTTTTTTCCCCCACTTATCTCAAAAATCATACTGTTTGGATAAGCAAAGGGATCTAAAGCATGAGACATTTAAATGTTCAAAATATGAACTTGTCTGTCTGAAGGATGGTCAGGGGATACTACCCGGATTCCTGTTCTCTTGAATCCTGCCCCACCTGCCAGCAAATTAAAGGTCAACTGCACCCTGAGCTGCCGGTCCCCTCTCTCCCAGCTAGTTGAGATTTCTGGGACCTCACCCATTAATCCAGAGTCATTGCTCTCCCAAGGTGGAGGGAGAGATCTCTCAGGTCATTTCTACCCTACTGCAGTGTTCAGTGTTGTCCCTGCTGAATACGTTTTCCCCGTAAATAACCTGTGCTATTAAGGTGCAAATTGCAACTTTTAAGTAATGATTGCTAATAGTCTAATGTTTACTGCCACACAAGGACATTCATGAAAACAAAATCTGCATTACTCATCTCCATATTAAATAAACAAAATAAATTGAGGGAGCTGTTCTTTCCTGCAAGACTCTCCACAGATCTGAATTATCAGAAAGCTTCAGAAAGTCTGCCAGAAGGGAACGTGGAACATCTTGCTGTTTGGGGTGAGCAGAGGCAGAATCCTGTAACTTATGTACATGTGAGGTATTCACATGCACATGATCACAAAAGATTTTGTGTACTATTGCAACTGGCTGACATTGATATAAAACAAATAGCTCAGGGTGGTGAAATAAAATATGTATCACATATGTATGTGGACAGTGGCTGAGATGGATGGTCAAGGATGGAAGGGTTCAAGGATGTGTACGATTTTGCATTTTTAAGCACTCTGCATCCTACAAAAAAGCATATCAAAACATGATTCTGTTTTATTTTGCCTTTCTGCCATATTCTTTATCTTACCTAAAATGGATAGGGGGAAAAGATGCAGATACTGAATCCTGCAATACTTTCAGGGGAAAGAGGGTGCATTTTAGTGGTGAGTGAGAAATACATCCAAGGAAGGGGAGCCAAGCACGTCCGCGCACACACGAACCTCTGGGGTACTGCAGACGGATTTCTCAACTTTTTTTTTCTTGCCCTAAGTAATAGTATAATATAATGGCATAGCTTTAGAAAGCCAGGAAGAATAACATTTCAGAGGGAAATGTTCTGACTTAGCTGTTTCCTTAAAGAGAATTGCCTACCTCACTTCCCCTCCCCCGGCAGGGGGAGGAATATAACAAATAAAGACTAAAATTCCCCATCCCTTACTGTCTTGTCCTGTTTGTTCTATTTGGATACCTGCTTTATTAGAAAGTTCCGCAATGGATTCCTCGAAACGTGGCACTTAAAGCAAATAAATGCAAAGGAATCTAATAGGCTCGAACAGTTCTTGGGAGAAAGAGCTCTAAGAGGGCCTCAGCTCTGATTCACTTCCAAGCTTTTTGTATCTTCCATTATTCATTAATCAAACTAGAAATCAAGCTTTCAGCATCCGTCCATGGGGGTAATTACTTACAGTTGTGCATTGTGTTTAATTTTAAGCAGAGATAAAAGTTAGCCTGGCCACCTTTACCCCTTCCCTGCATGTTACCTGGCTGAAGAACCCCAAAGTGACTAACTTTGCTTGTGAGTGGCCACCGCCACTGAAACCGAGGAGGGTGCTGATGACCCCGGACGAGGGGAAGAGATTGCATGAAAGACTCTCTGCTGTATTAATATGTGAGCAAATAAATACCACAAGAGGGGCCTCCCTGTGTACAAAACGAATTACTCCCTTTCAACTTGAAAGGATTTCCACTTCTTTCAGTGAAAATAATGAGAGCCATGAAAACAAACATAAAATCACTAGGATTACAATAGACCAGAAAACTGAAACTACAGTCACAAGTTTCTAACCCACACGTGCATGCATGTACATACCCACACACATACACATACTACAATATATATAGGCTAGCCAGCACCAATAGATATCAACTTAGTGAAAGGATCTAATTTAAATAATGTGATGCAGTGTTAGGTTATGTACACCTGGATCCTCATTGATCAGACGATGATTATAATCAAAGTGGTGCAATTCTGAGCAATGCACTTTTTGTAATGAGCTTAGGAAAGGAGACATGTCCAGTCATTCTGGTAATTTAAATTACTGCCTAGTTGTTGATGGCCTTTACCGGAACAACAAGAGGGAAAAAAAAAAGTAATTTTCAGGGCAGTATCACTTCTTGCTGGACCGAAGCCCAGGGTTCTCTTTCGGGACAACAATGAGGACGTTATCTCAAATCATCTAGCTACACTTAAACTTGTGTTGTCAGAACTAGACGGCGCAGGCTCACTCTTCCTGAGTCTCGAAGGCCACTGCACACTCTCACATTGTCAGATTGCAAAGCAGTCTAAGTTTTTAAAAATAAGGGAGCTATTGTTTTCAAAAGAGGTAGCTAGAGTTGCAGAAAGAAAACCTCACTGCCTAGGCAAGTTCCAAATACATATGGTGGTACACATAGTTAATGATTTTGCTTGTAAGGAGACAACTGAAAAACATGCAAAGCTTTATAAATGATATTTCCGCAGGCAACTCACACCAACCTACAAACGTTACAGAAGCAGTTCTGCGGCTCAGAAGGGAAGGTAACTGTGGATATTGCAAAGCACATGGATTCCCATTCAGGCTGGGATCAGGCAACACGATGGAGAACCAGCTTGGCCGTTCAGCGTGTTCAGATACAACTACCCACTTTCCCCAGATTTGTAACTAACTTTGAATTTCTTCTAAGGGTAACTTTGCAAAGTTTATCAAACTGTTCCACTGAACTTCTCCCTGTGTTTTACTCAAGCTGGAACAGAATAAAATGTGGGTGGGTTTACAGAAGACCAGTCTTAACAACTACTGCCTAAAGCAAAGGGCAAAGACAGAGAGAGAGGAAAGAAAAACAAGAAAAAAAAAAAAACACCAACAACACAAACTTTTTGCTAAAGTCCTGATTCAACTAAAGGACACAAAGAAATAAAACGCCCACATGAAAAGCCAAACAAGATAATAATTGTGCATGTCTGGCTCTGAATATAGAGGGCAAGGCTTGCGTCACTGGCACTCTGAGTTACCATGGTGAGTGATTTATTGATATATATCAAGAATGAATAGATCAAAGCCAGTGAGATGACAGGTGATCAATCAAATGTCAAATCAAAACTAGCAATCAAGTGGAAAGCTGATTTTTCAGTGGGTGGGTCTGGCAGAAGAAAATGAACTTTCATATTACACTTCCGAGAAACAAAACCCCAGCATACGATTAAAAAAGCAATTAAGCAACCCAAAAGGAAGGGGAAAAAAAAAAAAAAGGAAATCTCTTGGAAGATCTACCAGTACTGATCCATGAACCTGTCTCTATTTGAGTGGTGGTGGTGGCGGGGGTGGGGGATCAATTGGTAAATAAAGATGCAGATGGGATAGTTCCTATCACACAAATCAATTCACAAAGTTTGCAACTCTGAGCGAAGAAAATCCTGAGCTGCTTAAATTTCTATGGTGACACCCCCATCCCCTTTTATTAAGAGAATGGAGGGGTTTGATTAGATTTCTAAAGGTGGATCCTTTTATAAACCACATTCAAAGGTTCGTCCATTTCCTGGGGTGCTTTCTCACCTTGGTGATCAAGGCTGAACTCCAGTGACTTGCCCCAAAGCCAGTTTGCAACCCGGGCTTGGGCATGCCTCACACTTCAGTGCCCCAAGCCCCAGCGAGAGGAGACACTGTCCCTGGAGGCCAGAAGCCGCTGGCACTGACCACGCGGAGGGATGCGGGGGTGGAGGGGCCGTCTCCCTACTCTGCACCCCCAAATCCTGAATCCAACTTTGGCTCCAGAGGCAAGAAACAGACTGGGAGAAAAGTTAGGGGTGGGGTAGAGGGTGGAGGAAAAAGTTTAAGGAGGGAAGGCTTGGTGGGATAGCTCCCCCCTACCCAACCAGAGCCTGGAAGCGGGAGGACTGGGGCGATCCGAGAAAGCGAGAGAGGATGGGGTCCTTAGCGGGGCACCCGGAGCAAAGTCCCCCCGAAAGCTGCAGGGGTGGCGCCCCGGGCGCCCCGGGGCCAGGAGGGCTGGCGAGGAGCTGGGCGCGAGGCCGCCGGGCCAGCCCCGAGCGGAGCTGTTCTCTTACCTGCCGCCCGCCGGGGTGCCTGCTGTTTCCGCCTTGGCATATCGCTCTACTTCGCTCCAGTCCCACTTCTGGCGCCCCAGCCCCGAGCCGCGCGCGGGGGCCCGCTGTCTCTCTCGCCTCTCTGGGTCTCCTCCGCCTCTTGCCCGGTGGCTCCTAGGACGTCACTCGGCCTCTGTCCCCCTGACGATCCCCCCAGTAACTCCTCCACCACGGGCCAGAGACCCCCCTCTCTGGGTGGCAGACACGGTGGCTTGTGCCGGCTGGTTTGAAGTGGAGGTTGGCTCTGCCTTGTTTGTTTGTTTTGTTTTGTTTTTTTCCTCTCTCTCTCCTCTCTCTTTTTGTTTTTTGCTTTTGGAATTTTTTTTGTTGTTGTTTTTGCGCTTTTTTTTTTTTTTTTTTTTTTTTTTTTTGTGACTGGTGAGACACTTGATTTCTTTATTAAACATCCAAGACCGGGTTCAGATGGAAGGGACCGGGGGCGCACACGCGCCACACGCACACGCGCGCGTAAAGATAAGGGGAAAAACCCCAATCCTGGGAAGGTAGTAGGTTTCTTCTTCTTCTTTTTCTTCTTCTTCTTCTTCCTTCTCCTCTTTCCCTCCTCCTCCTCCACCTCCTCCTCCTCCTCCACCTCCTCCTCCACCTCCTCTCCTCTTCCTCCTCCTCCTCCTCCTCCTCCTCCTCCCAGATCTCGATGGCGGACTCGCGCAGGGGGAGAGATCACTCACGGTAGGTCTGTGGCTGCTGTCAGATCCCCGTCTGTGAGTGATATGCGAGAGGACAGGCGCGGGTTTGGGAAAGACAGAAAATCTGGAATTCACTCACACACACACACACACACACACACACACGCGCGCACACACAGACACACGCACGCACTCTCGCTTCCTCTCCCACACACACTCACACCCCCCACATATGCACACACACACACACACACACAAACACACACGCACTCTCTCACACACACAAGACAGGGCGAGGCGATGCCAGCAAACATCGATCCCGCTGAACAAACTGAACATTAACAAACTCCTCCTCCTCCTCCTCTCCCCGCGACCTGATGACAGGGAGAAATTTACTCCCCAGCCGCAGAGCGCCAGGCAGAGGGAGTCTATTAAAGGGACAGCGTCCCGCCGGGGAGAGGGGCTGGAGGCAGGAGACCCCGGCCTGCCAAGCCCCTGCTCTGGCAGCGCACTCCTGGCGTTGGAGAGGGCGTGCCCACCCGGCGCCGGGACACCCCTCCCGGAGGGGGAAGGGGAGGGGGCAGGGAAGTGAGGGGGTAGTGGAAAATGGGGAGTGGGGGTGGGGAGAGGGGTGCAGGTGGGGAGGAGGGGATAAGGAGGAAAGGGAACAGGCTGGTGGTTAAACTTGGAAGCTGGGGAGAAGCGCACAGAGGGCCAGAGGGCCTGACCAGCGGGGGATCAGCAACAATATCTTTTGCTTAGAGCAGAGTAGGAGTAGGGGACCTTATCCAAAGATGACCTCCATTCTCTAAGCCCTAACCTGACTCCCTAAAATGTCCTGCCAGCCCCTTTTAGTAACTCTGTCCCTCCCACCTTCTTGCTTATCAATGGATGGTCATTTAAAAGAAAACCTCCCTTGGCCTTTTGATAGACAAATCTCATAGTGTCTTTTTGTTCCTTTGAACAGTGTTTATTGAGCGCTTACTATGTACCTATTGTGGAGACACAACAGCCATAGAGAAAGGGAAAGTCCTAGCCCTATTGGTGTTTATATTATACTGGGAGAGAGCAGACAAGTAGCCCCCTGATATCTCGTCTTTGCTTACATGCCACCTTCTCCCAGAGGTCCACCTTACAATCCCCCCCACCCCAACATACTCCTCATCCCATTTCTCCTTTTTTATTTTGGGCTTATCAGTGTGGCACATGTTATGTACAGTTTTCTCTTCGGCTAATTGTCCGAGACCCTCTCTAGAATATAAGCTCTGTTGAGAAGACAAGATTTTTGCCTCTTTTGTTCTATTATTTCCCCAGTGATGGAAAAGCCCAAGGCATTTTGTTAGGGAACCCCTCCCCAAAATTTTGTGGGCTGGATGAAAAGTAAGCAAACACATATACACTGTAGTTTCAGATCAATGAGCCCCAGGAAGATGTTAAAAACCTGGCACTGTGATAGGCCCCGAAGGGGGAGGTGACTCCAGAGTCCATGCTGGAGACATCACTCCAGCTGAGCCAGACTGAAGCCAGTGTGTGATCTTTGAGTGCCTCTGCAGGCCAGGCACTGCTCAAGGTGCTGTGGACCCATCTGTGAGCAGGGTGATCTGAACCCTGCCCTCAGGGAACTCTCCATTCAGTGGGAGAGCAAACAAGTCAGAGGTGAGGGATGCAGGTGGTGGGGGTGTCTTGGAACTGGTGGGGAACCTGTAGAGAGGAAGGATGGTGAGCAGGAGGGTTGGGCGAGGCAAGTCCAAGCTGAGTTCTAAACATGAAGAAAGGGAATTCACACAGAGGCCCTCTCTTCAAAAGACAGGCAAAGTCCAAATGCTTCTGCTTTCTGCATTAAGATCTCTACCTCTAGGCCCTCATGAAGATGCACATTCCTGGTCCTTACCCTGGAATAAGTTTTTCTCACTATGGTAGTATTGGCATTTGGGGCCAGATCTTTCTGTGTTGGAAGGGGCACAAGGCAAAATGTTAGCAGCATCCCTGGCCACTACCCACCAGAGGACAGACCCTTCTACCCCATTTGCCACCAAAAAAAAAAAAAAAAATGACTTCAGATTGTTCAATGTCCCCTGGGAGCAAAATTGCCCCTGATTGAGCACTACTATCTCGGACCTTCAAAATCAGAAGATTCCAGATGACAGCTTAGGAATCTACATTTTGAATGATCAACCCCAGCCCCATAAATGACTCCCCTGTGCACTGCAGTATAAGAATTTCTGCCAAAAAAACAAAAACAAAACAAAAAAAACCCTTTTTTTAAAATCAGGCAAACCTGATATTGCTAACTGTATAAACCAAGTCATGCTTACATATTAATATAATTTAGGGTCCCAAGAAGGGACTTGTCTTTGTGACTATTGTGATGGAATTTCACCCATACCTGTTCCTTTTTCCTCCCCATTGACCCACCCCAAGTGAGGCCTGACCATGGAGCCTGGGATGCCTCCCACCTACAACCCACCCACCTGCCCCCTTTGCCCTTTCATGTGCAATTATCAGGCATGACTAATTCCACCAATATCTGTCTTAACACTTCCTTTAGGCTATAGGAAACTTGACTTTCCCATGCTACTTGTTAGCCACAATGTGTTGCCGTCCCTGTTTGCAAAGTCTGTCTCATCATTGTTAACATCCCTACATACTTGTCCACCTCACTAGTGTCATCTAAGTTGTTAAGTCACGGCCCTAATCATCCCCATCATGGCCTCCCACATGACCAAGCCCACCCACTCCAGCCCAGGCAGAGTAAGCCCTATTTATCATTGGCAACATCAGCAGAAGGATACCATTCGAATCGCCCAGTGCAATTGTACAGAGTGCAGGGCTATTGAGTAAAATCTCACAGTGTCACAGATGAGGAGCCAGTTTTAGAACCTTGAGATTCAGTGGACTTCAGGCCTGAACAGAAAGAGGGCAGAGGCTGCAGGGACACTCACAGGACCTTGCCCTTCTCTCTACAAGCCCAGGGCCTGTTGGTCGGCTGCTCACACTGTGTGATAGGTCTAACAGGCTTTGCCCCAAGCTCCTGTAGAGCTGAATATACAAGGCAGGACCCTCTCTTCCAAAAAGCTTCTCTGATAACAAACCAGGACACTCAGGCCAAGAAAAGAGGGAATTAGGCAACAGAGTCCAATCTTGGGGAGAATCAGGAGGGAGAGATAGGACAAGGTGACATGGGCTGCGGAATCTCTCCCCGATTCTCTCCAGCATCCTTTTTGGAATCTCAACTGCACTCCCTCCTGCTCCTCAATGTCTGGGTAGGTAATGGGAGGCAATACCAACCTCTGGCTGGCTACCAACTTGTTGCTGGAGTGTTCTTTTATTAATTTTTAATTTTTCCCATTGCTAGAAATACAGAACATTCAGCAGTTAGTTATCAACAAAGAAGTTTTTGACCACACCAGTGGAATGTGTAACACAATGGTGACCAGATGTTTTGGAGTGGTGTAGACATGACATTAAATAACACTGATTCACACAGTGAGAAAGTTATTCCCTTCCTGACACCTTTCAATTTGAGACAGTTTCCATTTAGTGTGAGTGTTCCACCCCCACCCCCCACCCCCACCCTAGCACCTAACATTTGCTGACTCCTGTTCTTCTACCCAGACTGCAAATCTCAGGCTCAGATGGTTGGGATGTGGCAAGTATCTGTAGCCAGATTTTCACAAAATGGTTTTCACTGAACTCACTTTAGGATTACCTTCTATTTTAGTGAAAGATATTGCTTTTCATTTTTGGTAGCAATCTCAGATTTTAAACCATTTAGTGGAGTCTGAAAAATAAAATATATTAAGGAACAAGAAAGAGCACATATGGTTGAGGTGGGTGTGAAGAAGGCAGGATGGAGAAAGGTAGTCCAGGTATGTGTAGGTTGGCATAGCACTGTGCTAAACCACAGGCTCTGGCACTCTGGGACACTTCTTCTAAGAGCTGGTGTCTTATAGTAATGCTGTGTCGAAGTCCCAGGGAATTCAGCTTCCTAGGATCTTGTGTTACGACTTCGGGATGTGTAAGGGCATGAACTGATTGACAGGATTCAGCCAGCCTCCTGAAAGGGTCGTTCCCACACGGGCTGAGCATCAAAATCACCTGGGAATTTTTATTATTTTTTTAAGATAAAAAAGCCCAGGCTCCACCCCAGACTTACTAAATTAGATCCCAGGGTGGGGCCAGAAGCTCTGAAAATTTTAAAGTTCCCAGGCGGTTCGGATAAGGTGCCAGGCATGGGAAACTTTCCTGTACAAAATAGAATTGTGTAACAAGAGAAGTTTGGACAGGTTTTTTTTTTTCTTTCTTTCTTTTTCTTTTCTTTTTTTTTTTATACAAGGAACAGAAAAGGGCATCTGATCTTGGATTTTCTCACAGGGGTGGGTGGAAAGGTCTCCTCAGTACCCCCTCTAGAAACCTAGGAGCCCCTGCCTAGCCCACGTGGTATTGTAGTGTGGTTTATGTCGCTGTCCTTGTTTGCCTGTGCTACCCAGACTCCAGGAAGATGCAACGAGGACATTTACTGGCTGGTGGTGTTCCTAGAAGGGTGCTGGTCACTGCAGTGCATTCCATCCGTGGACATCAATTAGCCATACGCTGCAGATTTGTGTACTTCTGCATCTCTAGGCACACGGTGCTTCATGTTAAAAAAAAAAAAAAGCAATGTTCTCAAACTTTGCTTTACATTATAATCAACTGGCAATTTAAAAACCCCAGTGTCCCATCTTACCCCAGAGCCATTCCATCAGCCCAGGGCCAGTGGGTGGTCCAGCCATCAGTACTTTTTAAAGCTCCCAGGTGGTTCCAGTGTGCAGCTAAATTTGAGAGCCAGTGTACCATAGGATTTTGCCCTTGAGAATATAATTCATTGACTTCCTCTTATGTCATTTGACTTGTTCAGGATATTCCTTGTCCCATTAACTATTTTGTGAAAACTTCAAGTTAGCAATCTCTGGTCATTGCTACCCTCTGATGACACCTGGTACAACATGTTGTTGTTGGAGTCAGACAGGGGCAGTCCTGGGTCACAGAGAGTGACAGGAAGAAAATAATGTGGGGTGGTTGGGTAGAGAGTAAGGAGTGGATCCGGGGTCCACTCTGGGGTTAGGGTAGGGAAGGGATCTGAGGAGGTAACATTTAAACTGAGATCTGGCTGCAGTTAACCAGGAATCAGGCCCTGGAAATGGAAGCCATGACAGGGCTTCAGAGTAAAAAGGACACATCCTTCAGGGCTCAGTTGGAGGTCCAGCCAGGCAACGGAAAACAGAGATGATGCAGGAGAGGTGGGTAGTCTCCATCACAGAGCAGCTCCCTCATCATATCTTAGAGTTTGGATTTTATTCTTCCAAGTTTTTGGTAAGTGCTAATTTATTCATGTGCATCCTAAAACACCTGGTCCATTGGAGAGGCTTGCTCAACCAACACGGGCAGCGTTATCTTGGTGGATGTGTGCATTCTAACAGGAAGTGAGGTTGGTGCCAGTAATGTGTGTGGGCACTCAGGCATTGGAAAGCTTGTTTCTGAGAATGCATCCTCTAAAAATTATTTGGCTTATTTTTAAAAATCCGTGTGATTTGGCTAAATGTAGAATTCTTCAACAGCAATTAAGCATTATGTATATTTTAGACAGGATGGTTGCTGAGTGGGCAGATTGGGGGTATGGAGGGGTGAGCATTAACATCTATCACGTTTCTCCCCTAGAGTTGGCTACCTATAGCTGGTGACAGTGTTTTGCTACTGCTGAGGAATCCATAACAAGTCTTTGGCCCAGTAATCCATTGCTGAACTTCATTAACCACAGGAAGACATTAAGTGAAGGTAAGGACCGGAACAGCCTGGGAATCACGTGACAGCAGCCTTTAAGTCCCAGGCTCTGGTATATTTTATGCCAGCTCAACTGTGTATCAACCTCATCTTCCTGGACTCACTAGAACTGTGTGCCCAAAGGTGCCCTCAACTTTCAGAAGCAAATACAGAATGATATAATTCGATCTGAGAACACCTTTTTGTCTTATCCGGAGCATGTCTTATCTGTTATGATTAGGCATTAAGCATCCTATTGTCCTTAAAATTTCATGAGATTCCACCCCTGCTTGCTAGGATGATGTCAAAGTGACTTGTCCTGAATGCTGTTTTCACCCAACAATACAGCTTGTCTTTTCTCCTAAACCTTGCAAGACAGTCAACCCAGCTAAGGAGAACCCACAGGCTTCAAATGGTCGGGTAGCCTGGGATTGCTGCAAACCTTTCTAGAAGTCTTCTGTCTTGCTCTTGCTTTCCTGAGATTAAAGGGTGGGGACCCTGAGGTCAAGATTTGTTAGCAAGTCGTCTGCTTGGGGGAATTTTTTTTTTTAATTAGAAAACTCCAGCTGGGGAACAGGAAGTGAATAGGACCTGGAAGACAGGCTGTACTAGCCAATGGTTGTCACTGAGCAGCTGAGCACAGTCCTGCTGGGCAGTGCTGGGGTCCATGTGGATCGTGTTCCTTGGAGATGCCCTCCTACAGGGTGAGAGAGCTGGGGTGTGACCCGCCCACTCCTGCCCCCCATGGTGCTGGGGGCTAGTGGTCAGCTGGGGGGTGAAGAAATGGCATAGTGCTGGGCAATGTCCTCCAGATTTGAATCCCCAGACTGTGACCTTCAGCAGGCCAAAGGCAGAGACTCTTCAATGCAGTGTCCATAGTGCCAGGCACACAGCAGACCAGAGTAAATACCCGTGGAATGCGGGGCTCGCCCAAACCTGGCTCCAGGTCTCTCAGCTGCATGTTCTCTGCTAGTCCTGTCTGTTCTAATGTATTTAGTTCTTGCTTCTAAGTCTTTTGCATTCCTGAATTTTGTCCTCTCTCTCCCCACTTGTATGGTCACTTGGGGGTCCCTTCACCTTCTTTCCAGGTGGCTCTCTAGTGGGGCTGTGAAGCAGAGGTCTCGTGATTACCATAGCTCGAATTTTTAAAGAAAATAAGACGTGCTCTGATGCTGATGAGTGTCTTAAGTACAAGGTGAGGCAGAATGCTTGAAATCAGGATGGTCCTCTCAATCTTAAGACTATGATCTCTGTGTGCAGACCAGGAAGGCACCTGGGAAGAAAGATGGGTGTGGGTTTGGAATCAGGAAGACCAACGTGTAGAGAAGACTTTCACTGCTTACTAAGACAATGACCTTGGGCATGTTCTGTAACCTCTCTGGGCCTCGGTTTTGCATATTTGAAATGGGAATAGTTATAAGACTGACTTCAGGAGGGGTGTAGACAGAATCATAAGAATAAAGGAAAAAACTCCTGGCATCTGCAAAGCACCCTGCCTCCATCATTAGCCTTTTCATTACTTTCTAAGCTTGCGTTGATCGACTGCTGTTTACCGTGTGCCTGCAGATCTACCTGAGGTTCCGTCTAATCCACACGGAGGGAGAAGCTCACTTTCCCCCAGTTACCTACATTTGCAAGGACACCTATTTTTAGAAAGTGATCCAGGAAGCTGGGGCAAGACAGGCAAGTGATGTGAAGATAATACTAGTTGGGGACATGTACGAAGCCTTGGTGCCAAGCACTGTTTTAAGCACTTTAACATAAGAGCTTATTCATTACTAAACAGTTTGATAAGGAATAGTGCTTTTGTTGTCCCCATTTTACACATGAGGAAACTGAGGCACAGAAAGGTCAGGTAACTTAGTCAAGGTTATGGAGATATCACAGGGGGAAGGGTGGCTGCAAACTCTTCTTGTGTGGCTCCAGTTTTGTGCTCTTAACCCCCATGTCCTGCAGCCTCTTGGTGATGCTGTGGCCTCTATGACTTCTACGTAACCAAATACTGATTCACTGCATGACTTTAGACCTCAGAGTGCCTGTGTCTCCCAGAGAGTTTAAACAGATTTCTGGGCCCTGCTAACGCTCCTGGTTTTGCCCATCTGGGTGGGGTCTGGAATGTGTGTTTTGTAACAAAGTCCCAGGTGACATTGAAGCTGTCCACAGAACACACTTCGAGTTTCCAAGGTCTCAACACAGGTGAATTTCCCCCTCCCCTGGGGGACATTTGACAATGCCTGGAGATCTTTGGGGTTATCACAACTCAGGGGTGCCGCTGGCATCCAATGGGTAGAGGCCAAGAATACTGCTGAATGTCTACCCTGCCCAGGGAAGACCTCTGCAGACTTAAAAGGATCTGGCCCCAAGTGTCAAGGGCACCAAGGAGAGGAGCCCGGTGTGGAGCACAGTGCACAAACTTGGACTTGTGCAGGTATCACCTGAGGGCTGGTTTAAAATGTGGCTTCCGATTCTGTAAAACTCCAGCACATCTGAGTGGCAGCGTTTCCAACAAGCTCTGACCAGGGATGCTGGTGTGGCTGACCGAGAGACCCCACTTTGAGTAGCAAAAGTGACATGGAGGTCTTAGGACATCACGAACTTCTCAGAAATGCAACCTGGACATCTCCTGCATTAGTTCAGAAGAAAAGAAACTCTGAGTGCGAATAATCCTCTTTCAACTCACCCTATTGCAAGCTTGCCCTTAAAGCAGGGCTGAGACAGCGGGGTCGGGTGGGGGACAAATGTCCACCCTTCTCTTAGCAGCAGGCAGGGGCCTGCTGAAAATGAGGAGGGGGCAGAGCTGGGTGAGAACTGCCTCGCTCCAGCCCCCGAGCATCCAGTGGAGGCTATTGTTGCCTGGAGTCGTGGCTTCTTTCCAAGAGCCTGCTCTGGCGATGGGTTTGCATCTGCCTGACTTTCAGTTCTGCGAATGGAAGATGAGAAACTGGCTGCTTGGAACACGGCTGCTCTCTTGGGAGAGGGGTATGGGAGGAATGGACGCTGCGCCCAGCCCTCCAGAGACGGCACCCCAGCCCCGGTGATAAATGGCAGCATTAACAAGGTTTGGTTGAGAGGGGACCCACAGATTTATGACTTCCTGTGTCCGCCAGCAGATGTCATCATGGCTGACAGAACAGAAGGCCTTTCAAGAGCGAGCTGGGGAGGAGCTAAGAGGGGAAAATGGAATCAAATATAAGGCAGCAGCCAGAACTACCGTTGGCCTAGGGGGGCTATTGTCCATACTGTCATTTTAGGAATTGGGGACGTTCTCCAATAAACCCAGCATCTGGTCATGTCTCTGAGGTCCTGCTTCTGAGATTTAGGCAGAAACTCTCCAATGAAAGACAAAGTTACTGGCTTCTCTTAAATGAGAAAATCTCCAGGGTTTTTGTTCCTGGCCTATTTGTGCCCTTCAACATTTTCTTGGATAAAATGAGCACTTTGCATTGAATAAACATATATTTTACTCTGCAACATGATTTTGAAGGGTTTTTAAATAGATTCATTTTACAAATCAGCAGCTCGTTCTGAAATTCCTTTGATATACATGTGATTTTACCCATTTTTCAAAATTATTTTATAGAATGTCATTGATATTTTATGTGCCAGATTTTTTTTTTGTGTGTGTGTGTGTCTGTGTGGTATGAAAAAAATGGCATACATTTGGCATTCAGCATGGGCCAAGAAACCCATTTTAGTATGTACAACTGCTAACACATGCTAAACAGTAATTATGGGTCACATTTCCACATTTCCTCCTTTTAACCTGCACCTGAACATTGACCTTCATGGATAAAGAGAACTTTTTTCAAAGTTGACTCTCTGGACAGATCTTTGGGCTCAGGTGGTCAGTGCTCCAAACTGCAGCCCGAAAGAAACAGATTCCACAGGCTGGGCTGTCCTTAACTCTGGCCTCCAAAGTCATTCCCCTTCCTGGCTGTACAACCCATGAGACTCGCCAGAAACGAACAGTCATGGAAGACTTTAAGGAGGACAACCACAGGATCCTCTTTGTTCCTCTTAAAAAAATAATAAAAACAATAACTTCAAGCAAACCCATGGTCTAGAAACTTCTTCTGTAATCAATTAGTGGTTAATACATTAATATGTGTGTTAGTGGTCAGAATTTTATTTGATTGTGGTTGTGTGTGTGCACGCACGCGCGTTCTAGAGATTGAACTTGAGGCCTTGCACCTGCTGGTTGAATGCCCTAGTATGGGGCTACATTCCCCATACTTCATTGAGATTTGTTAAATGATATTGTGGTTACAAATACAGCCACTTTCATGGTACCAGTTCCAAGCACTTTAGAGTGGCTTTGTAGTGATGTCCTCACTAACCTGGGCCCTGGGCAGGTTACTCTAACTTCTGCTCACCACCTGCATTATGCTGAGCAGGTGACTTACTGTCCAAACATGGTTTCTTACCTGTGCAAGGTGAAGGATGAGTGCGCTCATCTCGTAGTGGTTTCTTCTAACAAGCATCAAAGACGGTGTTTGTGAAGCCCTTAGCCACGTGCTTGGCTCAGGGGAGGAGCTCAATAAATTAGCTATTGTTAGAATGATTTATATTAAACTATCTTCCTTCTTTGTTATTTCACAGGTAGACGTGACAACTCTACTGATTCGTGGGTCACCTGGAAGAGAAATCCAATAATAAGAAGAACCTTAATTGTTGCTGTCACATATCGAACACATACAAGGTGCCAGACGCTGTGCTAAATGCCTGACATGCAAAATCTATCAAATCTAATTCTTACCACCACCTGATGAAGCCTGAGTTCTATCAACTTGATACAGGAAGAAACCCAGATCGGAGTTTGTCCATGATTTTCAAACTTGAGTGCCTCTGGGCAACTTGTCAGAACCTACGTCACTGGGTCCCCTCCAGAGCCTCAGGCTCAGCCGGTCTGGCCTAGACCCCAAGATTTTCAAGTCAGTAAGTTCCTCGCTGCTGCTGCCAAGGCTGCTCTGAGGACTGTGTTGGTGAGACCCTGATTTCAGGACTTGTTCACATTAACCTGGAGTTAAACGGCAGGGTAAGATTTCAAAATTAAAAATTTGAGTACACTTAAAAGTACTCTTAACAACCATCTATATTTCTTCAAATTTCCTAAAACGAACTTTGGAATTGCCAATCATTGCGTTGGCAAAGCGCCTTGGTTCCGGTGCTCCTGCTCCGTGAATTTCTTTGTGGCATGGAATAGTTTGTGATTCCCTCTTAGGGAAGGATTTCAGGGCCATTTTTAGAAGAAGCATCAGGTTCTTAAATCATCACCACCAGCCACTCTTGAGATTGTCAGCAGTCCTACAGGCACAGAGCAGAATGCACATGGGGAGACCCACCCCAGCTGGAAGAGTCATTAGCAGTTCCAAGATGGAGCCCAGCAGAGCAAACCACACCTGGATACCATCTGTGCCTGAGAGCCGTGGCATGGCCTTGGTTCCCATCTGGCTGGAAGGGCTCCCAACACACAGCCCGCTTGGACATCAGAGGGCTCTGGGGGCCTCTCCTGAATGCTGCTAAGGTGAGCCACTTGCAAACAGTCAGACCAGGGGACTGTTGGCCCAAGCTGGAATAAGAACTGGGATGAGACCTGGCCCACATTGGAGGGTCTGGGACTATCGACAGGACTCCAGAAGCACCAGTGGGAGGTATGAGTGGAGACAAAGGATGCAAGGATAGAGCCGAAATAAAGCCCCAAGTCCCTCAGTGGGTAAAATAATTCATCACGGGCGTCTTCCCTATTCAGCCGGGAATGAAAATTGAAACCTGAATTCAAATCCACGGGCAGTATATATTTCAAGAAATGTGGACACCCAGAGACTTGAAGGAAACAGCTAAGCTGGGGAAAACACATGGTACCACTGAGGAGAGGCTGGCTGGTGGCAGATTGGGAATCCCTGCAGCCAGGATGCAAGATGGAGCAGGAGTGTGCATACAGGATTTGCTCCCGGAGCCTGAGACCCCAGTGCTCTCTGTAGAGTAGATCAGCTCTTTTTTGAAGACCCTTCCTCTTCTACATATGTGCTATTTATGCATATATCTACACACTCATTCATTCATTTGGCAAACATGTACCGAGTGCATATTATGGGCCAAGTATTAATACAGACACCGAGGGTAAAACCACAAACCCCAGTCTCTACTTTCACGGAGCGTACTCTCTCATGGGAATCGTGAGGCAATGTGCAGAATCAGTAAGGTAGAATATCAGGATACAGAAAGTCACAAGGAGAAAAATGGAGGGAGGAGCAGATTTGGGTTGACGGGTAAAGTGGTTGAAAAACAGCCCATCACCATCCCCAACTATATAGCACTTACCACCAACAATGAGTACCCATTTGTTGCAAAGGAGAGACATTGAGTCAAATAAGTTTCAGGACAAAATGTAAAACTCTGGCAGGACATAACCCAGATGAGCCCAGGAGTTGCTAGTTAAGTGGGAGCTCTTCTTTCCCTTCCAGAATTCAGTCCGTCCATTCTTTCAGATACAGCTCAGATTTTCACTGGGGGATATAATTCTTCCCCCTTTAATTTCTGTGACTTTGGGGAAGTTGACTCCTCCCGCAAGTCCAGGGCCTAAGCCAATCAGCATACTCCCTTCCCCCACTGACCTCAGGGATTAGTTCTAGAGTAGGGGAGGGTCCCATAAAGCTGAATCTCAGAAACCCTGCTTGAGCTCCCTCAATTACTGAATCTGGAGGGGAAAATTGTTACTCGCATTTATCTTATAAAATGAGGGGGTCTGCCTTATAAATGAAGTAAAGAGAGAAGAAGATAGATAGATAGATAGATAGATAGATAGATAGATAGATAGATAGATAATAGATGGATGGATGGATGGATGGTGTTTGGATGACATCATTAGTTCTCTGGCTAAACACCCAGAGTAAATCTGCCCCATGTCTAGTTAATTGAGTTAAAACCATTCTCTTTACAGCTTAGGGCCATTGGGTTGGGTTTTCTGTAGTTTTAAATAGAAAGATAAAATATCTAGCTCAGGCTCAGGACAGCCCTGCAGTGTTCCCTCTGTGTGGATTTCACTGTCAGCCTGGCTTCTCCACAGTGACCACCAGCGACCTGGTTCTTGACAGTACCTGCCAGGATTCTGTGCTCCTCTTGGTTGCATTCTGTGGTCTGCACCCTCCTTTGAACCAGGCAGCAATGCCAGGGATTGGGTACCATGGATCTGTGACGGGGACTCTCTTTCAGGGCCTGGGCTGCTACCGGCCTCATTCAGATCACATTGAGAGTTGGCTCCTCAAATTAGGGCATTGTTACTAGAAAAGTGGGGCATGCTGAGGGGACAACCAGAAATCTTAAAAATTCACTTAAGTGTCCAGTTTTCTCCTTCGTCATCTCACATTTCCCAACTGCAGAATGAAAAAGTTGGGAGAGAGTGGTGACTCCCAAGAGATCCGCCATGAAGGACCCTTCTCTTGCCTTTCTCTGTCGCCCAGTTTGGCACCAAAGTAAACCAAGTTTGGAAGACTTTGTCTGTAATTCCTGCCTTCACCCATCAGTCACCCACCCACCATTGCTGTGGAATGTCCACTAGTCTCCAGTTTTGCTCCAGCCCTAGGGCAAGAGTGGTCCCAGAAGCCGGGAGGACGGTGCTCACGCTATTCAGTGACGTACAATAGGGGAGCTGAGCCTGCTTGTGGTTTTCTGTCTGGGATTAAAAGCAGAACTTTAGTAGAGAGACCTTCAGGCTCCTGGCCCTTCTATTCTCTTGGAGTATCCACAGGGGGGTGGGATACTGGGAGCTGGGGGTGGGAAACTGGGAGCCAGAGAGCAACAGATTCACAGCTGTCAAGCAACAAGAGGAGAAAGAATCAGCAAGCTGAGCTGGTGGGATGGGAAGGACAGTCCAGGTCTGGGGCCGCGAAGGTTTGCACAGTCAGGGCCTCCTGCCGAGCCTGTGCTCATTTCATCCAGGTTTTGTCAAGTGAGAGGACCCAGATCTTCATTGTTTAAGTCACAGTCAGAAGTGCCGTTATGTGTGGTCAAAAGCATTGTTGATCAATCCAGTCAGATCCAATAGAGGTCCCCACGCAGCTTACAGTCTGCAGATGACCAGCTAATAGATAATTACATGTGTCACAAGTATCTTGGGGAGGAACCACAGGAACTTATATCAGGGGGACCTAGTTTGAAGAAACTGCATTGAATGAATAATGACATTTTTAAAATCACTTTAGAGAATTAGGTAAGGGGTAGGTAGAATATTTCTCACTGGACCACATAGGAAGTATTTTCCCTTCCCAGGCTGTGCTGGCCTCTGTTGCGGCTCCTCAGCTTTGCTGATGGGGTGCAAAGGAAGCCACAGACAATATGGAAAAGACGGACATGACTGCATTCCAATAAAACTTTATTCACAAAAGCAGCCTGCTGATCGCTGGCCCGCGCTTGCTGATTCCTGAATCAGACACATCACATAGCTGCAATAGAGAGCAGCCACCAAGGACACTTTGCAGTACGCTTACTGAACCAGAAGAACCTCTCTGGATTGGACTCTGCAGATTCCCCAGTGCCAGCAGCTCACCTATGAGACGCGGAGATCCCTCCATCGTGCCTGCCTGGCTCCTTCAGAAGTGGACTGAGGGTGGTCAGCTGGGCAGCTGCCCGGGATCCCCAACCATGGTGAACTTAGACCCCCCGAGGGGGGAAGTTGGGAAAATATAGAAGGCCCCTTCTCCGATGGAGACATTTCCTGCTGTCTTGGAGCAGGCCAAGATAGGAACACATAACATTTATTAGCCCCGGAATGTTTTTGCTGGAATTTTTGTGACCAACATACACACATTTGTAGTCGGCTCGGAGCTGGCAGTTGCGGTGAGGGGGTTTCCAGGACCTCGTCATGTGGTGAGCTGAGATTTACAAGGGGCGCGATTTATATTGTGAATTATAAACCTTTAACATACCTCCCAAGAAGTCGCTCGGTTCATAAAAAGTCACAAAAGAACTACAAAGAAGAGTCCAACTGCAGAGAAGTTGGAAATATTTTATCCTCCTTTTTTTTTTTTTGGACTATTGACTCTCTGTCAACCAATGGAAGTAAATTGTAAAATTACAATTAGTCTTGATTCTGCAAAAAAAAAAAACTTAAGAAGAACGTCCGATTCCCTCCACTCCCGCTAACTAGGTGTTGGGCAAACATTTGAAAGGCAGCGGATGGAAGGTCTCCAGACTCTTGGTCTAGGTGGCTCTCATGAAGACCCATGAAAACAACTGCAGGTTGGGTCCAGGAAGGGACCACAAATGGAATGTGCTGGATAATAGGCCGCAGGGCATGGTGGAGACGGGGCAGCTGAGAGCCGGTGCCCTGCCCGGCCCATCGTCCCCCCTGCCCAGCTGGTTGTGCCCTGCCTCTCTCTCAGCACACAGGCAAGTGCACCCCAGCCCCCTCTCCTGACCAGAAACACACACTCCTCCCCCAAGTAACATCAGGAGATGCAGGACAGGGATCTGAACCAATAGGTGGCTGCATTCTGCCTTCCCCTGGCGAGAGGAGGAGTCGCAGAAGGCAGCGGGGCTTTCCACACCTTCCTGGGTGGATCCAACAGTACCTCTGTTTAGGGAGGAGAGAGAAGAGGGGAGTCATGCACACATTTGTTTGGTAAAGCTTATATACTCCTGTCCTCCAGGCGGTTCTAGTTCCCCAGAATGCCCCTCCTCTGGGGTAGGTAATGTGGCTGGAAGGGGACACCCTAAGCTATTTCAGGGTTTCAAATTCCCGTTTCACCAGTGGTAATGAACTGTGTGTGTCCTTCCCTGAGACACAAGGTTTTGCCTCTGACCAAAATGTCACAAAAAGAAAGTTTACACCCTCCAGACAACGTGTGTCGAGTAAACAACATGGAATGAACTTCCGTGGAAACACCACCCCACGAAGAAACACCGGAATCTAATGTTAGTCGAGATACAGCGCGTTGATATCTTTTGCTGACGAGAGACAAAGCTGATAGAAGGGAGGATAAGGTAAGGATCAGACTCGAGGCTTTCTGAAAGCCAGGACTTCAGGAGAACTCCAGAAGAAAAACATACCACGTGGCCTCATGTTAGGGAAATGTAGCAGTTGGTTTAGAAAATGCCTCCAGTGTGGTGATGAATCAGGCAAATTGGGGGACTCAGTAATTGAACAAAACCCAGAGTCATTGGGTAGAATGGACTCCAGTTGTTCATGCAGCCTGACGTCCATTCGTCTTCCCCTTTCAGATTATACCATTTGGAGTTTGCTTTGGGGCAGTTGATTCTCTCCCGTGCTCAGCCACGCCATTCCCGTGGTATTGACCCTTGTCTCTCCTCTTAGGATTGGAGAGGGCCAATAATCCCACCTCACCCATTTCTCTCAACCACGACTGGACATGTGATGGGCAGAAAATTAGATAGAACCAGCAAGAGCTGTAGTTTCTAGAGCTTCTGGGCATGGGGGGAAGGGAAGATTCTTTCCTCCTTGATACCACTCCGGGGGAGCCATTTTTTCTTGGTCTGTTTGAACTACAATATGAAGACTGGAGTAGTGTCCTTCCTACTAAAATAAAAGGCCCTGGAATTGCCAGTGGAAACCCACTCAAGGCCTGAAGAAGAAGCTGATGCTGTGGAAAGTACAGAGGAAAAAGTGAAGAGAAACAAAGCTGGTCTTCGATGACACTAGATCAAGCTGTACCTGAAGCAGTCCTGCCCACCACCTTTTCAGTGATGCAAGTCTACACATTCCAGGATTCCTCAAGACACTTTGAATTGGAATTCTATCATTTTCAGTGGAAGGATTTGTGACTTCTCCTTTGCTTTCATCAGATTAACACTGATGGATGAATGCCCTTTCAACAAGTTATGGTGGGAAAATGGGACCGTGCAGTGGGTTTCTACTTTATTATTAGTTTTTGCTACACTGTTCTCAATTGGAATAAATGCTCTCTTAAATAATCCCATTACTAGTTTCCTTGTCCATACTTCATGAGGTCATTCAAGTGCTACCTTTCTTGTGGATTCATTACTGGAAACAAATTATAGACTGGAGTTTTCAGTCCACTGGGGCTGCCCCATGCAAGAGCTAAGCATTTGTGTGTTAGGTTACACAGACATGGTTTTGAACCCTGGATTTATAATTTAATAGCTACGTGAGTTTGGGCAATTTACCCAAATTTTCTAAGATATTGCCCTTGACCTCTTTAAAAAATGCTGTTAATAACAGCTCCTTGACTGAGAAAGGTTTTGTGAGGATACAATGAGCTCATGCAAACACATGATATGGTACCTGGCACAGAGTAAATGTTCAATAAAAGTCAATACTGCTGTTCTTCCTGTCATGATGCTGTCAAGGAGCCTACCATATAGAAAGAGCCCGATGAAGCTAAGCCGCCGTTATTAATTCATAAACACTTGCTATATGATTTAAAACCAATGAACTCATGATTGAATGAATACATGAGTCAAAACTTGATTCACTGAAAAAATAAATGAATGAATGAAACTGGGTACTAAGTTGTGAGCCCCCAAGCTAAGGGAAGGGCAGGGACTGAGGCGGAGAGGGAGGGGTCCCAAGGCACCTGGGGGTGCTTTATGGGAATGCCCTTCCCTGGATCTGTGTCCCCATCGGGCGAATGTTCTACGATGCTGCTCCTTTACTGCTTATTACTGCAGGTCATCTGTCAGGAGCATCTTGATGGGCAGCTTTATAGACAGCCATAAAGCAGGACTTACGGCCAAAGCCATCACCGTTTGTTGAGCTCGGTGCTTAGGGTGTCCACATCATCTGCTCTCTTTTCTCTGGGTCATAGCCATTCAGTGCACAGATGCAATTTAGCATAGATGACTTGATTCCTCATAATGCCTCCCTGTAGCCTCTGGGATAAAATTCAAGGAAGAACAAATAGGATAATGTGGACATTCACCGAGTCCTTAACTTAGCACCCGCCTAAGACTTGGCCAGGCCCAGGGAGCTTGCCAACTTGAATCAACCATCTCCTTCACCTTCCCAGGTAATGGAGCAGGTACACTCGTTAGCTCAGTCTTGCCGATGAGGAAATGGAGTAGCTCAAGGTTGTGCTTCTTGCTCAGTGTCACAGGGTTAGGAAGTGACGTCTGTAGGGTTTGAACCCTGACATTCTGTCTCTGGAGCCTCTGCTGCAAGCTCCATTACAAACACAGTCGACCCTCTGCTTTCTTCAGAACATGTGTCTTGTTGGGTGTGGTGGCACATGGGCATGGTGGCACATGCCATAAGCCCAGTGACTTGGGAGGCTGAGCAGGAGGACTGCAAGACCCAGGCCAGTCTCACAAACCAGGAAGGCCCTGAGCAACTTAGTGATATCCTGTCTCAAAATAGAAAATAGGAGCTGGGGATGTGGGGTGCTTAAGCACCTCGAGATTCAATCCCTGGTACAAAAAGAAAAGAAAAAGAAAACAAATGAATCTTTAGGATGTGATAGAAATGAATTTCCTGAAACAAAACTTGTCTGATGTGGACGAATCAGACACTCTGATATTTTAAACGTTCATGTTTATGGATTTATTTGAAAGAGTCTGGGAACGTTTCCTTCTCCCAGTCCACCATCCTTAGTAGCAGTAGACAGACACCTGGAGTCGAGTGCAGGTGCTACTCTGGAGTCCCAGCTTGAAGTCAAGTACTCCAAATTCTACTGCAAGGGACCACGTGGCTTTTTTAGTAGTAGGCACCCAAACTACCAATCTCATTCTCCCAGCCAGGTTCGGCCAGGCTGGTGCTCTCTGGAATTCCATTTTGGACGACTGTTCATACCTAAGTACCCACGAGCTACGCCATTTGTATCATCACAGACTCCAGATTCTCAGGATGGAGTCCAGAAGAGGGACGGGGCTGACATAAGAGCTTCATCACTAGCACAGGGGCAGCTTGCCCATCTCTGGGAGTTATGTGTCCTCCCGACAGAACGGGCAGCAGCCCTCAGGGACGGCTCCTGGGCAGCCACGTTTGCATTCTGTGACGTTGTCCACTTCCTCAGTTGGCTTTGGCAAGGACACCTGGGTCCAGGGAGCCCATCAGTCTGTCTCCCAGGATTTGGGGCTGAGGAACACCAAGTTTCTGTCACTGAACCTGAGTCACGTCGATCTGAGACACCCATATTCCATCCACCCGGCCAACTGCAGAGGAAATGTGGAGTTGGAAGGCAAGGGGGGAGGAGAGGGAGGATGGCACCCAGAGCGCAAGCCTGTCCCCGAGGGCTTCCCAGTTCCTGGATGCAGCCCTTTCAGGGGGCTGCTGGACCCATGTCTCTGAGAGGCCCACCTCCTGCAGCGAATAATTAACATTGGGCATCAGCTAAGTAAGTTGGTTTCTGTTCTTTTTACTCCCAAAGCACCATTAATATGGCAAACGAGATTCCCTTCCTGTTCTAAGTGGATTCAAATCCTTTTTTGAGTCCAGAGAGCTTACAGATACTTGGTTGGTCAGGAGGCCTGTTGGTCAGCATCCTTGAAAAAAGAGAAGAAGTGAGCCGAGCTGTTGATTCTATGCATTTAGCAACAGGTGATCATGATGTTTCTATCTTGTTCCTTGGTCTTTGATTTCCATATAAAATTTCATAATTATTTGTTTAACTTACATTTTAAACAATTATTTCAAATTATTTTTTTGGTAATGGGTTGTTTGAGAGAGAAGTACTAATTGTCAACGTTCAGGAAAAAAAAATGTGGTGGTGATTAATGAGGCCGGGGAAGAGGGGAAAAGGTTGGAAATCACCAGAAAAAACTGGCCGTAATTCAGGAAGACAAATGACCATTCTGATGTGAGACCCACTTCCAGGAAATGGCTGGTCTTGGGCAGGCTAAGCATTCTTAATCCAACAATCCCAAATCTGAAAAGCTCCCAAATCCAAAAATAAAAATTCTGGAACGTTTTTGGTTGAATTTTACATAAAGGATTCTTTGGACCTGAGTGAGAACTAATAAAGGTACCATGATTACAACCTCAACCTAGCCAGGGTGAGGACGGAAATATGGAGTGGGAGAATGAGGGAGAAGGCAAACTCAGACTAGTTTGGTGAACATGCATGCGTAAGAGGGTTTTGCTTGGATCTGAGAAGAATGTGGCTTGACAAGCTTTGGGCATGGCTGGGTCCAGGTGCTCAAAACAGGCCACCAGGAATCTGTCTTTTGGCACCTCTTGGCTCCCATTTTACCTGTATTGGCTTTATTCCCAAGAAGGGTAACTTCACTTAGGGTTGCCGTATTTAACAAATAGAAATAAGATGCCCAGATAGTTTTGAATCTCAGTTAAAAAATGAGTTCCCTAGTGTTTAAGTATGTCCCTTGCAACACTGGGGCCTCCTTACGCTAAAACAACTCTTCATTGTTCATGTTTATTTTAAGTTCATTTTAATGAGACATTCTCTATTTTATCTGGCAACCACATTCACATGAGGTGACAGAGATGACACTCAACACTTCTAGACCTCTGTTAATGTAGCAGCCTCAGTGAAAGGGGGCTGACTTTCTAAAATTCTATTCTATGGAAGAATCTGTACTTGTTCACCTCTCTCCTGACTCTTCACTGTCCAGGACTCCCTCCGTGCACCTACATGGCCAATGTCCTACCAATATCTGCTGGATAAATCATTTGGCACGAGGAGGACTTCCCCCCTCTCTTCTCTGTATACAAAATGAACAGGTAAAAGGGAAAAGCTTGTCAAAACAAATCTTTATTTGGTTCTCTCCGTCTATGGGACAACTTCTGTAATGTGCCAATCATTTTGTTGCAAAATAGCCCCTCCAATACACAATCCACCTTTTCCGATGACACCCGCCTGTCAGTCACTCACTAAATCAAAGCCAAATTTCACTCCAACCGAAGACCAGTTTGTCAATCATTTTGCCCGCCACATTTCCGCCAGATCACCTGACAGCTACAACTCTCCATGTTCAAACAGAGCAGGTCTAGTTAAGCTTATTTGTCTCCCCTAATTGAGTTCTTTGTAGGACCGGTAGCTTAGCAACTAATAAGTTATTTTCTGTGACAACTGGCCTAAATTGCATAGCTTTCTTGACCATTGCTACTTGTTAGGAAACTGTTTCCCTTCAAGTGGTTCAACAGCAGATGTAAGATTTATTTACTACCGAATTGTTCTATTACTTCTATTTATAAGCACTCTTCCACTATTTAAAAGTAAACACCAAATATGTTGTCAAATAGACACAATTTTAAATAATTATAAAGCGCCTTAGAATTTTGTTCTAGACTCTTACATTCTCCATAACTTGAAGTGTTGGGAAAGAAGTCAGTTAGATGAATACCTGGCATTTATCAGGTTTAAGTGATTTCACAAGTGCCTATGTAAGCGAGTCAGTATGAGGTTATGTACAGGGTACAACACCTCTTCTTGTCCTGAAGGAATTTGAGGAGAGAGTTGGCAACAAATTCTAAAGTCACATAGAGAATAAATAGTACAAAGGGAAGAGAAAAATAAAGGCAATGATAATAACAGCCTTAAAAAGCCATGACAACATTGTCATGCTTGGTATGAGGGACTGGGATGGCTGGTTTCAAGTGCCTACTTGCATGCACTAAGGGTTGCCCAGAAGCTGGTAAAACATTGTTTCTAGGTGTGTCTGTGAAGGTATTTCTGGAGGAGATTGGCATCAGAATTGGTAAAGACGTGAAGTGATGCATGTGTAAAGAAGGTGCATGGGGAACCATTCAGCCTGCGGAGGGCGGGGAACAGAACAGGAAGGTGGAAGAAGGCTGACTTGGCCCTCTTCGCTTGAGCAGGGGCAGCCGTCTTTTGCCCTGGGACATGGGTGTTCCTGATCCTCAGGCCTTTGCTCTGGTACTTACACCACTGACATCCCTGGTTTCAGGCCCCAGGCTGGACTAGCACTTAATGTGTAGTTTCCTGGACATGTCGCTTGCATACAGCAGACCATGGGATCTCTCTGCTTCCATGATCATATGAGC